TTACATCATTTCCTACTGGTTCGGAATGTGCGCTTCCTGGTTTTCCTTTACACCTCCATTATTACATCATTTCTTACTAGTTCGGAATGTGCACTTCCTGGTTTTCCTTTACACCTCCATTATTACATAATTTCCTACTGGTTCGGAATGTGCGCTTCCTGGTTTTCCTTTACACCTCCATTATTACATCATTTCCTATTGGTCTGGAATTGTTTTCCACTGGAGGGCCAACGGGTCATTATCCTTGAATAGTGGATAGGACACAGGACTTGTAACTGGAAGATTGGAGGTCCAAATTCTGGGTGAGCCAGGTGCTTCATTCGGACTGCTCCAGTAAAACACCCAGGTATATACTGTACATGGGTGAAAAAGGACTCTACTGGGAATGAAAGTTTCAGCCATGTTATTCTTAATTGTGAGCCAGGACTTAGTGAGACAATTCTTTGCATTACTTCCTGTGCTGGATTGCCTTGACAATGAGACCTGATCATAAGGGGACTTCAGGGTAAGCAAGAAAAGGAAAGCCCCAACACGACAGACCTCCAGCGCTTTTACATGACTGGCCATACAGTGAGACCTCTCACCATAAACTCTACAGCAGGACCGTCCACAACACCAGCGCCAAACGAATCAAATCCAAAATGTGGTGCAAAGTGTTGCTTAACTATTTAGAGGCAGAGACCGTGAAATGGAACAAGGCAGTTTTAAAAGGAAGTCCTCCTTTAAGGGTACATCCTAAGAGATAACACTCCTTTAAAGAAAAAAAAAACAATTTTGCAAAAATATACCAAGGGCAAAAAACTGCACCGAGAGGGAAAGAGCAGCCACTCATGTGCACCGGCAAACAACAGACATGTGAAAGCCTGTCAGACTGACAGTTTGCTTTAAGCACAGGACTAGCTGGGCCATTGACTCTTCATCGTGATATGTGGCCCAGGTTCCATTAGTTGCGATATCAAACGCGTCTTTCACGTCTCTCTCACTAACGAGGGCTCTGATCAGGAGCTGTCGTTACCCCCTCCGTCCCGTTCACCCGGGACACGAGGAGGAGTCAGCAGACTCCTTTACCCAGGCGCTCGTCAGCAGCCCAGTCATGCTGCTTAAAAGCCTCATCAGCACTCATTAATCAAGGCTTCATCAGTGCATGGAGACACCATACAAAGACCCTCATTTCCTCCAGCAGCTTTTTGTTCTGAATGAGCTGCATCCTTTATGTGGCGTTAATTGGGTGGCAGATTGGAAGAAAATGAGAGATCTAATCACGTTAGCTGCTTAGCAGTGACAGCTTTAATTAAGAGAAGCGCTGTACTTGTCGCTGCTGTGGATGATGCTAGCTGGCTCTTTCTTTTTATCTAGAAGTCAGGT